GAAAAAAAAAAGCAAGAACTCTTTTTTTTTTTTTTGTCATGCGAGTTTCAAATTAGCGACTGTATCAGCTGCTACCATGAGTCTAAATCCAGGTTCTTAAAATTTGTTATGTTAGCCAAGTAGTTAGTCCCGCTGCATTGGCTAAGTGACTGAAATACATGTACTTATAAATCTGCTTCATTTTCTACTCAACGTGGGGAAAGAAAACAAAAAAAAATGTTCTCCCACTTGATGTACATATCAAGGCGGGGATCTGTAAGGAGAAACTAAAGGTGACCTTTTAAGTACTTATTTAGTCATCCTTACATGAAGTAGAAGTTACATATTGCAGATTCAAATGTACAGGTGCAGGTAGACTGAGTTTTGTGCTTTTGTAGTTGTGAAACTGTAGGACTCTTGTTATTAGAGGTGCTTTTGTGGATTGAATCATAATAAATATGTTTGGTAATTATGGACGAGATGGATTCAAAATGAGAAAACTAGTAATTATGTTTGAATTTGAAATGAAACTGCATTCGTGCATCTCAATCAGAAATTTAAACTGGCTAGAACTCAAATTTGCTAGGTGTGAACTGTTATATACCAAACATTGTTTTTTTAAATACGAGCTTGGTGTATTATGAATGAAATGAATTTCTTTGATTTAAAAAGAAATAAGAAAAAGGAAATAAATTTCATTTCCCTTCATCTGCTGCTTTGTAAAGCCCACCTCTTGTTACCTTGTTACTAAAAAATTGCGTGCATATAGAATGGGATCAAGACCAGTAGGTTGATTCTCTCCCGGGTATCATTAGTGGGTCCACAGACTTTTTTGATAAAAAAGGATCAATCGAGGGAGAGTGAGAGGCTTTCAACTGGGGGAAAGGGGGGTTTGGGTATAGCTATATTTGTTGAGGCAAGGTTGGACCGGTTTAGTCAACTCCCATTTCGTGTTGCTACTACGGGATTTGTTTTGGTTTCTTTTCCTCTGGCTACTAAAGAACTGAGAGATGCCACACAGTGTTATCAAAGGCGCGCTTAAGTCCTGAAGGGAGGCTCAAAACATGTTGAGCGCTTCGCCACGCTTAGCGGACGCTTCGATGTTGCCCTAAAGGCCGGAAGGCATATTTATCCTTGCCAATGAGCGTAATCCTAAAGAGGCGGCACTAAACAATTGATATTTCACTATCATAAATTTTTCTTCAATTTCTTTGTCCATATATTTGGTATTCATGTTTATAGATTTTAGTCTTGGACTACACATACATATTTGTTATTTTTCTCCATTTGCGCCTTTCTTCATTAGCTAACACTTTATTTGCACTTTGCACTTAAAAACCCTACAGATCTTAGAGCTTTTTTGCGCTTTTCGCCTTTGATAACACTGATGCCACGATCTTTAGTATTCCTGCTATCCCAAAGAGCGGGGAAGGAAGGAATTGAGCTTCAACTACTTTCTTTTTAACTAAAGCATGGTTTTATAAGTTAATCGGAGTAATATAAAATGGAAATGACTAAATGCAGCAAAAATGTCAAATCAATGTCAAAACAACATGACATGTTTTTCCTCCTTTCGTTTACCTTTAATTTTCTTTTACAGAACTAAGAGGGAGCAGGAAAGGTCCAATTTGATAGCATGGTCTCATGGCTACTGGTATTTGAAATCATACACTGACTTCAAAAATGTGACCTTCTAGGCTACAGGCTGCCCCCATACAAGATGTTTTAACTATAGTTTGAGTAGTTAGAAAGGTAAACTAAGATATATTTTCTTTATGAAGAAAGGATCAGCTTGTGTTAATCCATTTTGTAAAACTTTACAGTCCGAGACGACAAGATGATAGTTTCCAAAACACTGTCAAAACACACTTACTGGAGGACAGACTCTTTTCTTGAACTTAGTGGTAAGCTTCTTCCTACAGGGCACTGTTTTCAATTGTGAGCACCATATTATCTTCATAATCTACTTTGGTGCTATAAGACACCACTAGCTCATCACTTGGCACCCAGTGGTTAAAAAAGTTATTGGCCCCCATGTTATGTTATCCACACTCCAGATGTCCAGTCTTGTGCGTGTGGAGGAGTGTTAAGTCCATATTGGTTGAGGGACTCTATGAAATCTAAAATAGATTCAACATCATTTAGTTCTCTTTTATGCCAAAGTAAAACAAAAATGCTGCTGGGTTTCATCTTCTGGATAGAATGGAATTTGTCCTCGAAGCATCTTGAATTTCTTTTCGTCCACACTATCAACCAAATGCAAGCAGGGTTTGTATTCCACGAGTTAGCTCTTCCTTTATCCAGTCCTGCTCTATTACAGCATCTCAAAAGGTCAACCGTAGCACCTGGCCTAACCATTGGAACCCCCCCTCCCCCCACAAAATTCAGGAAAAGTTGCCATAGTTGATCTGTAAAGACAATGTAGTAACAGGTGTCGATTATTTTAATTCTACTCAATATCTATGTCAAATTGCCCCTCAGGGCCCTCATTTTTTCTCAATATCTGTGTCGATTATTTTAATTCTACTCAACTAGGGAAACTTGCTAAATACTTTGAACATGCGCAAGTGTATACTTACTTGCATGGTATGCATACCCAAGTCCTTGCTTCATCCTTCCTGGTTATAGTTAGACTCTCAGCCATAATTGCTTAATAATTCTCCAACGACTTTTCAGGTTGAGCCGAAGCGCCAGAAGAGATAGGTGGAGCTGTGGTAAGATGGATGAAGCCAGTTTTCTTCATGTTTTGGATGCTCATCTAGATTTTGTACAGTGCAATGAACCGTAACTATGTTCTTTGCATAGATTAGCTGGTATCTGTTATGTCTTCCTTATCAGTAGTTCTTGTATGTACTAGAAGATTGGAAGACGACTCTTCAAAAATACTGTTAGATTAACAAGACTTTCTTTTGAAGTTGAATCCGACATTTAGTGTGAAAGCATCAACATGTCATCTTACTATGCTTAGAATTTAGACACTGGATGATATTATTCCCGGCATACTACCCGTTGAGCAATCTTTAAACCAAAACTTGGCTTTTTTTGACAGTGGTTAAGCAGCTTACTGTTTTGATGCAAGACATATAGGGAAATGCTAATTATCAAGGGAAAAAATATATTATTAAAAAAATTAGATCTTTGGAAATGCTATTTACTCCAGTATCTAGTACTCCTAGTTGCTCTACTTGTTTCAAACTAATCATTTTCAGGGATCAATTAGATCAAATCTTGAAATAGTAGATTGGAATATGAGATTTAATTGACCTTTTGAAAGTAAAATCAAGGAAGTTCTGGAGACTGATGAGGAAGTACAGTGTAACAATATGTATCTCTCAAATTATTTACATAACGTAAAAAGAAAATATGAAAGCATAGTAGGCTGCAATTTACATGTCTAGCATGCCTTAGAGAGAAGAGGAACAAGGATTTAAACTATGCGAAGTGTATTAAAAACATTCTCATAAGTATTGACTAGAGATATTGAGAACAAGGAAAGTTGGAGAGGTTTTAACTCATCACAAGAATAGGGCACCATGGAAAAAGATCTAATTCCAAGTTCAAATTTGGATTTAAATTTTCTAGAAGAGGACGAAAAAGTCCCTCTGTCAAGGGTATTTAGAGGAAAGGAAAAATTAGGACAATGCTAAGATACTATAGCCATGTAATGGTATATAGCTGATACCAATTAATTGAGATTAAGGGTGTGTTTGTATAACGGAAAATGTTTTCTTGGAAAACATGTAGTAATCTTATTCATTTTCCGGTGTTTGGTACGCAAATTTAGGAAAATGACTTCTTAAGAGTATTCATAAATAATTTAGATATAATAAACATGAAGCCATAAACTTTCAAACCAACAACCTTCCGAACCCATAAATTTTACAAACTTTCGAATCGCTAAACTTTCGAAACTACGGAATTTCGAACCCGTAAACTTTTATAATTTCTAAATCCGTAAACTTCCATACACATAAACCTCCGAACTCTTAACTTTGGAACTTGTAAAATNAGGGTGGGGAAGGTTGGGAAGGAGTTTTGGAAAATGTTTTCCCTTCTCTTCATAAGAAAAACATTTTCCTCCAATTGGAGGAAAATGAGTTCATAAGAAAAATGTTTTTCAAGACATTTAAGCCAATCAAACATGAGAAAATTGGGAAAAATATTTTCCTTCATACCAAACACACCCTACGTCTTAGACATGTTCATATGTTTACTTTAGGTCCCAATGTCTTCTAGGAATCCTTCGGTCTTCTTAAAAATTTATATGCGAGTAAGAAATTAAGAGAACTTCTAGTATTCTTTTATATAATGTTATACTGAATGAGCTTAAATAGATCGAAGTACAAAATGAAAATTAATATAGACCTCAACTTGATTCGGATTGAGGTGAAGTAATAGTAGTTGTAGCAACCTCATATATCTTGATGAAGTTGCTATGTATTTCATTTATATGAAGTCTTGATGAAGAATTATACACCCGTTTGCCCTGTAAAATACACATTTCTCTCCTAGCAAAGGCAATCCTAGTCTCCTATTATAGGGGCAAATTATTTGTATTGCAGTTTCAGATATTTTACACAACTTAATACTTAGCTAATTAATAGTGCTGAGCTTGTAATAAAATCCTGGTCTCATACTATGAAAGATTTTTCACGTCGACTTGTACGTACGTTACTGGTTTACAGGTAATTACAGCGAAGAGCTAAAAAGCTGCTCTTACCAAATTAATTAACTATGTAAAGAACAATCATATGGAGATTACGAAAGTATAACAGGAAACTAAAACGATTACATCATTTATCATGAAAGTAGGATATACTACTAAACAAGAAAATGGAGATTTTAACGTGCTAAGGCTTTATGCGCTTGCATATGTTATGTTAGTATAGCTTTCATGCATGGATGCCATTTTAGCACATCATCAAATGGGTTAATTCGTTTGCGTGGCGGATTACGAACAAAAATATCAACTCATTTGCTGTGTTGGGCTAAACCAGTCCAAAGATACTCTCTAACATGGTGTGATATTGTTTGTTGTGGGCCAAGCTCGCACATTTTTTCCTAAAAAGCCTTACACCATATCCCTACAGCATCACTCTGCCATCTCCATACTCGAACCTAGGCTCTGATACCAGTTGTTCATGGGCTATACCAACCAAAGATACTTTTAACATGGTGTGATATTGTTCGCTTTGGACCAAGCCCGCATGATATTTCCCAAAAGGCCTCATATTTAAGAGATCCCTACACCTTAAATGTGGGCTCCCAATTTTTTCACTTACTAATGTGGAACTTTGTTTGCACACCCAACAACATGCACATTGCAAAAACACAGTCATGATGCATTCCAACTTCCAAGTCATTTCGCAAATAGTCAAAGCCAGGAACTAATTTTCCACTCTCTCAATTATCATATCATCTTCTTCTTGTTACTCCCTTCTTTTTGCTTTTTCACTTCCGTATTTTTTTTCAAAACTACTATGATTTTGCTTTCCTAGAGTCGAGGGTCTATCGAAAACTGTCTCTCTACCTTCACAAGGTAGGGGTAAGATCTGTCCTCTCCAGATTTTACTTGTGAGATTACACTGGGTATGTTGTTTATCATTGTAATTAGTAGAAACAAAAAATTTCAATACATCAAAAGTTAAAAAGTTAAATTTTCTGTATTGACATTGACTTATTTAGTATGAATGTAAGCAATTAGACAATCAGGTCGCTCAAAGTTAAAGAAAGAGTTTATGGTAAACATGTGTTAGTAAAGAAAAAGGAGTAGCTAATTTGTTGTAGCAAGTAAAATTATCCTAAGCGTGTCAATATATAGTTGGCAGACAACTCAACAAAGCTCATCTCAAAAAATTATCACTGCATTAGAAATTAGAAGAATAACAAATGTATCATATAAGGCTAGAATACCAAGCCAAGTGCTTGATTCAAGTTTAAAATGAAGACGTTATACATTTACAGTTGCTTGTGAAATTTTTTTCCTAAACTCAACTGATAACGGACCTATTTAACATTAGACCTAAGTGTTGCACATGCATTCCTTACACCGTGGATATCTATATACGCTCCTTCCAACAGGTCGTGAAAATACCCGTTTGGTTTGTCTCACTGCCTTCCTCACTCTTTGCTCAAATGTCCTCCAGTCTATTGTGTTGTTCTTGACAAAGATATCAGCGAGTCTCCGTTTGTTTGGCCGTATAGTAGCCATTTTACCTCCACCATAGTATACTCGAAAACCAGATATCAATGATGAAAATTGGCTTCCTGAGTCTGTCATGGCAAACACGTCTGCAGCGCTGCAAACTATGAAGTCCAATGCTGCTAGCTGCATTAAAGTGTTATATGTCAGCTCCAGTTACATGAGTTAATTAGTCAGTCCTCAAATCAAACAAATATGATGATTATGCTCACAGTGCATCCTGCAGAAAGCTACAACTGAAGCTTAGCAACAAGGAACTACATGCGTGATAGCTACAGGTAATCATATGACTTCACGAAGCCAACACTCATGTTGCATGTATTGGCTTTCTGTTTGCCAATATTACGCACAAACAGTGTTGTCAAGAGAGAAAAGCTCTAAAAGCACCTGGTCGATTGGGGCTTTAAGCCCAAAGCGCAACTAAAGTGCTAGCTTTAGTAAAAGAAGGCGCAATTAAGGAAAGAAATAAAAATACATATGTCATTCAAGAAAAATGAGACAAATTCACTCCTAATGTTCTCCTCAACAACTAATACACTTATTTGCTGAAAACATTTGTTGTTTAGTACCAATCGTTTCAAGATAGAACTCATGGGCAATGAGGTGCACACCTTAGTGCCTTGCCTACACTAGAGGCGCAGCTCCCTCCCTGAGCTTTTCTGAGCTTCAGGGCTTAAGCGCTCCTTAAATGAGCCTTAGACAACACTGCGCACGAAGGGAAATAGTTCTTCTTTGAGAGGCAACTGATCATGACTATCCATACCAAGCACATAATTTTTTTTTTAGTGTTATTCATTTGGTGCTAAATGTAACAGAAATCATCAGGGGATATTGCAACAATAAAACCATGTCAAACCAATACGTTTACCTGAGATGAGAAATTCTTGAACGGTTCAATCTCGGCAGAGGAAAGCAAGCTTTCCTTTGTGACCAGATTAGGATACAAGGTAGTCAAGGAGGCCAGTCTTGATTTCCCTCCGTAGATATGTGCACCTGCCAAGTATATGCGCGTCTGCCGATTAAAACCAAGGGCAGCAAGCATTAGCACCGTCTCTTCAGGCATTAAAGGGCACAGTCCTTCAGCCTTTAGAGCTGCTGGCGAGGGCAACCTGAGCACATGGTTTTTTCAGAGATCGATAAGTGAACTGGGGCTAGTTCTAACAAATTGAAGCATTCCTCAATAGCATGTCTCTAGATTAGGTTCAGGTTATTTTGAATCAATGAAGAAAATCTGATCACACTGTTAAAACATGCATGATTACAATTATCTAATAAAGGTAATCCACAATTCTCCCTGCAACAAGATGTGAACCTGATCCAGATGGTGAGAGATAATAAATAACTTTAAGTTAGTTCAATACATTTTTATGCGCCTCTGGTGCAATTTTTGGCAAATCAAAGATGCAAGCAGCAGTTTAGGACAAGCTCACAAGTAAGCATAAGCTTTTGTTTATGCAAGGAAAGGAATTCAGCGAGACTTCTATATAACATACTTCGTGGTCTTCTTAAGCTCCACCAATGCAGGAAAATGGATTTCACGATATGCTTCCAGTTCATTTCTTTCTTCATCACCCCCACCATATTCACAGAGGGAATGAGCCACCATGTCAATTTCAAACCTCAGATGCAAAGCTAAATATCTCGCAACTTTTCCTCCACGATTTCGTTCACCCTTCATCATTGACTTTGAAAAGGGGCCCACTAGGTGACGATCCAAGGGACCCAAGCGTGTAACATTCTGACG